CAGCCCTCTATCTGTCCATTTGTCCAACCGTCACTATCTATCTGTCATCCATCCATCATCCATACATTCATGCATCATCCGTCCGTCCGTCCATCCATCCATCCATCCATCCATCCATCCATCCATCCATTATCCAGCCATCCATCCGTCTGTCTGTGCTCCTCTCCAGCATCCATCAATTCACCCACCCATTAATCTATTTATTTATCCATTCATCCATCTATCCAGCTGTCATCCATTCATACCTATCTTTCTATTGATCTATCCATTCATCCATCTGTCATCCAGCCATACCTATCAATCCATTGATGTATTCATCCATCTTTCTGTCTGTCCTCCCGTCCACCATCCATCTAGCCATCCATCCATCTATTCATTCATCTGTCATCCATCCATCTTTCTGTTGATCTATCCATACATCTGTCTGTCTGTCCCCCTGTCTAGCATCTATACATCTGTCCATCCATCTATCTCTGTCCATCAGTCATTCATCCTTCCATCCGTCATCCTTACATCCATTTGTTAACATCCATGCATTCATCCATCCATCCATCTGTCATCTTTCCGTCTGTCATCCATCCATCCATCTTTCCATCCATCCATCCGTCTGTGTTTTTCTCCAACATCCATCCATCCATCTTATCGGACCCTGTCTATCTAAAGATCTATATGTATGGCTCATTACATAAGCTGAATTAGTTTGTGTATTTCACGCATCTGGAGTGGCAGTCAGACAGGCAATAGTAAGACAGTGGCACTGTGCCTGATAATGCCGCGGCTGATTGGCAGTGTGTATACAGTGTTAAGCACAAGAGAGAACCAAGCTCTGCACCCCGGCTGTTTTCCTCATGGCTCGGTTGTGAATAAAAGCCTGCAGCTGGGGTGAGTACAGGCTCTCACTATTGGGAGGATTTTCAGCAGTCGGGTGCAGCTTTTCACTGAACACAATTGCTCCTTGGAGACCCAGCGATTTAGGAGTGAATGAATATGGCATTAAGAGAAGCGGTCTGGTCTATCATGGGCACAGTCTGTTTGATGTCAGGGTTGTCATGACATCATCTAGGTGCAGGTTCCCACTTTTGTCTGCAAGAAGGAGGATGCGCAAATGCAGTGTTTGTGCAAATTCTCACCTGCCACTGTTTTTCAGATTAAGATGAGATTGGACTTGAATAACTATTGAAGAGTAGGTTCATTTAATAAATGTGCTCATTTAATAAGAGGTGATATGGAGAAGAATATCAACACAAGCATTCATTGATATTCTCTACATTATTCTCTCCTCTCATGCATTTGTGTATGAACTGGATTTTTTGGAGAACCTTAATAAATCACATTGTACACTCAGGAATGTGGTTTGCTGTTTGTTAAAACTATTTATTTATTAAATAGTTATTGAGTTTTTTAAGCTCAATTGTTTAATTGTTCAATCTACTTAATAAGTTAACTCAATTCCTTTATGTAGTCCCAAATGGATTGTGTAGAACCTAGCTGTCACAGCCAGGCCAGGTTCTCCTTAAGCCGGGGTCACACTGCACTTTTCTGTCACAAGTTTTGCAGTTAGCTGCCTTAGAGAGTTGATGCTTGGTGAATGCTGACCAACGAAATCGCATCATGTGACTGCCTGAGACCAACTGAGGATCAAAGCATGACCTCTCTGTACAGGAATTTAAAATATGGACCAATTGCTCAAATTTTTATTTATTTTTATTTTTATGTCCAATCGGCTTGTTTAATCCCGCCCCTTTATACAACGCCATATGACAGAATTTCACAAGTTTAAACTCACACAAAAAGTGTGACCGCAGAATTAAAGGTACAGTAGGTGATCTGCCAAAATGCTAAACGGTTAGCATAATATTTTTGAAACACAATCCCACCCCTGTCGTCCAAAGCCGCATCTCCTGATACATAAACACGTGCACCTAAAGGTGACAGCAGACAACCCACTAGTTCATGTCATTCGCCAGTTAAACTTTACATTACATTATAATACTACAATTCCGAACAAGAAACTGTAGGAATTACACTTACAGTATTACTAAGCCACACATACAGACCGAATGTTTAGAATAGCATGATAAACAATACAGGAAGCGCATCACAGGTTGTCATTGTTCAAAAATGAACCGATGTGATGTGAATATTAAACCAACACCACCTCAGTAAAGCAGGCTAGGCAGAATAGCACTATTTTACTCATGTTTTGTTTTTAAACTAAATAAAAATCTACATTATATATGCTCTAAATGTCCCTTATAAAACAGAAGAAATTCACATCAATCTTTCGCTGGAAGATTTCAGTGGCTAAATAATGCTTCTGTGCATGCACTTGCCAAGGATGGTAGTAACATAGATGCTCCATCGTGCAAATCTACATTTGCTGACTGACAGTTTGGGCTACTTATCAGAATTATGGGAATTTTCACCCCGACAATATTTAATTAGATGAAAATTTTGTTTTATGTCTTATAATCACCTACTGACCTATAAGCTGTGATCGCACTATAGTTTAAGCTTGCAAAATTTCAAACAGGGACCAATCGCTCGCTTTTTTTAATGTCTAATCATCTTGTTTAATCCTGCCCCTTTTCACAGCATTATATAACAGAACTTCGCACACTTAAACTCTAGTGTGACTGCAGCATTATCACTCAATCATGTGATGTCTCTGACAATCATGTCACAGTTCACCAAGCTTGAACTTTCCAATGCAGTGAACTCATACTGCGGATGAATGGAAGTCTATTGGGAGAAAAGTCCAGTGTTTCCACAGTTTTACTCTCACTCTTCACAATCACCCCGGTTACTGTCACCTGAATACTAATCAGCCCCAAACCTGTACATTAGTCCCATTCATCACTCCAGCCCCGTAAGAACCTTTAAAAACCCTCATTCAGTTTCTGGCTTCATTGCTAATACCAGGGACTGCACTCTCCATATGGTTAGTGTCTAAAACTTTGTTTCCAAGTTTACTCTCTCGTTCCCTGTGATCTCCAGTGTCTGGGTGTCTCCTTCCTAGTGTGGTTTCTCCCGGTCCCTCCTCTGGTTGTTTCTCTGGATCCTCCTGTCTGAATATCTGGCCTGGCTCCTCTGTATACACCTCCGGTCCCCTTATCCATCTGGTCATCCATCGCCATCCTGCACATCAGCTACATTGAGTTCCATTTCACCCTTCCATCCTTTAAAATAAACTGCTCCTATACTTACATCTCTAGTTCCCATATCTTCTTGTGACACCTGCATTTTTTTTTACATTGTTTAGAATAGATGCACTATGCTACAAATCACAGATTTGGAAGAAACTTCTTAATGTTCCATTGACCTTCATCTGGATAACCTGAGGATTTCAGTCACTTTAAAATAGCTGACCATCTTTTCTGTATGATAAGCTCAGGTGTTAGATTAACACCACCAACTGGGAGGATCTGAATGGTTTTTCTGAATTTGATCAGTGTCCTTTTTGAAATGCCACATTTCAGTTTGTTTATACCATGCTTCAGAATATATGTCAGCTTAGCACACACTGCGATTTCGACCAAAACAAATTTTGGACTTTTAAAAACAAATTCTATATTCTTACAGTAGGCTAAAATCTGTGAACTTTAAATGTTTGATATGTTCACTGACAGCCAATTAAAACGGCTGTTGAAACTAATTACATTTAAGGCAGTGTCAGAAGATTTCACACTCTTTCCTGCAATGTGTGACCTCTTACAAAGAGTGTCAAACCAAGAACCAATAGGAGCACACTATACCTGATTACACAATCAGCACAACAATTTCAATATTCATTGGGGAAATGTTGAAATATTTGTTCTGTTTTTATAATCAAAATAGTATTGGTATAACTCTAAATATTGTGTAAGTTTGCTGTGAGGTATCATGTTCAGTATCATGAGGATTGCTAAACTCAGGATCTCGAGATCTACCTGAGCTAAAACTACCCTCTCGCCCTGCAAATGGGAGGGAGCCCTGGGCTTGAGGATCTCATGAGCTCAGGGCTCTCTCCCGGGACAGCATGCCAAACTAGCTTATTACCAATCATTAGCTAAGTGTCGACTCTTGAATTGTCATTCAGTCTTACATTATGTCAAGTGAGATCTTACATTGACATGGGGTTCATGTTCAAACAATCTTACAATCAAAAATAATAAAGGATTATTAAAAACCACACAGTGTGAACCCTGGACTTTTCTGATATGTTAAAAAAACTGCTCCTGTTCTATTCCTGTTAGAATGACGTCAAATAAGACCAAGCAAACTGTGGGTTGTTCTTCATTGTAATCTCCTTTGTGTTCGCTGGAACAATCACTTTTAGAAGCTAGAATTTTCTTTTAATTTTCAAACTGTGGATTGTTAGTTTTCAACATTTCCTTCCTAAAAGTGGGTAGAATGATAAAAGGTTTTGAGAAGGCATGAATGCAAGCTGCATGCTGTCAGAATGACTGGAGGCCAGCCAGAACAGGAGCACTAGATCATGAGAGTGAGAATGAGATGGCAGAATAGAGAGGGAAGCTACAAATAGAAAAAAATAGAACGTGGAATGGTGAAGGTGAGGTGTAATGACATTGGCTGAAGGCCAGCAGCCTTATTTGGAGATTTAAAGACATTGAAAAGCTTTTTGTTGGTCCTGTTTACTTCCTGTTGTTTGTTATATTTTATTTATGTTTTTCACACCAGCAGACATAAAAATGAAGAGTTTGACTGATACAAATCCCAAACTCGATCTGTTTCATATTGACTTGTTTTAAAATATGATGGTTCCAGAATGGGGTTTTAATAATAACACTACATTTTCTCTGTCGTGTTATGAAGAATATAAATGGATGGTAAGATCATTAATGAAAGGCCTATGAGTGTGCTTTGCAGAATCAATAATCATTTGTGGTTTGCTGTGCATCTGTGCAAAGTGCCTATAATCACTTTCTCTTTCTCTCTCTCTTGTTTTTTTATATATATTCCCATCTATCCATCTCATTCTCCTTCCTTAATGGGGTCAGAGAGTCTGTACCGTGTAAGGAGGACAAAATGTATCCCTCAGACTAGCATTGACGGCCTAGAGGAAGCTGAGGTACTATTTTCTCTTTAAATATTCAGTAAACTCTTGCTTTTTTTGTTATATTGTGCTGTGACCTTTCTGTGTCCTTTGTCCTCAAAAAAGAAATGTCAAACGCATGTGCTGGTGTTGGTGGTTCACGGGGGGAACATTCTGGACCCGGCGGGTGGAGAGCCTGGAGCAAAGACCACAGATGTAAACACGTTGTCTTCAGTCCTGGAGAAAGTATCTCAAGCTCATTTTCAAGCTGCAGCCCAGCATGTGGTCATTAAGTTGGTGCCATGCCCAGCCGTATGCGCAGAGGCCTTCTGTCTTGTGTCAAAGTAAGTAAGCGACTTTTAATGACTATACTTTTTGGCAAAGCGCCATGGTATTCTTTGAAGTAAATACCATTGTACATATGCTTGCGTGGTTTCCTTCCAACAGCACTGTTTTGTAATGGATTGGACAGGTTGAGTTTCCTGGCATGGCATGTTTTGCTTTGCTGTGCATATACACTATAAAACGAGATGCCACATAATTAGATGTTTTGTTCTTGTGAGGTCATGAGAACACCCTCAGGTAAAATTGGCAAAATTCCTAATTTTTTTTAGTTTGTTTTGTGGGGAAATGCTGGCAAATTCAGTTGCAGTTGTTCTTGTCATGTTGAAATAACATTTTACAGAATTTATGTAAGATAAAAAGAGCAAATAAGTGCAGTTGTGCTGCTGATATAATATAATATAATATAACATAATATAATATAATATAATATAATATAATATAATATAATATAATATAATATAATATAATATAATATTTCTTATTATAATATAATATTTTACAGAAATAACTGTAATGTTATATTTGATAAATTTATTATGCTTATAGAATAAAAGCATAAATTCGTTGAAAAATGCGAATTTTGAAGTTTGTTCCTCGCCACTGTCGCCACTGGAACAGGTTTGGGACTTGTAGATCTGCACATCGATGGATTTGCTCTTCAGTGTTTGGACTTCCAGTAGTGAAAATTAAACCACACTGAACTGAACTAAAGTGAACTTTAACTCTAAAAACTGGACTGACGCATTTTTAATTTACTAAAACTTCTATGTTATGCTGCTTTGACGCAATCTACATTGTAAAAGCGCAATAAAAATAAACATGAATCTAATTGAATTAAAATGTTTACCACTTTTATGACCACTACTTCTTTAATCATTATTTTTTTACGCTTAAAAGTCCAGAAGGAATTGCAGTGTTTATATTATACTTTATTTTTTGGATGCAGCCCTAATTTATGCAATCCTGGGGAACACTTTAGAATAATGGTCCATGAGTTAATGTATATACACACATTAACTAAGCATGAATAAACTTGTACAGCATTTATTTAATATAGTTTACACTAATGCATTATTAATATCCAAGTTGTGCTTGTGAACATTGGTTAATGCACAGTGCTTTAACATGAAACAATGTTATTTAGATTGTGAGAATGATTAATAAATCCATTTGAAACGGTCCCTAAAAAGTCACGTCTTGCTTTCTGTTTTGGACTGAGACGCGTTTTGCATTCACACACAAGCGTACTGCGGCAAAACCCAAGTGAATTGCACTCAGACACCTGGCGCTGGGCCAGGGCCGGCCAAGTGAACCGTGCCTGAGCCTGATTTAATGCACTCACACTTCTCAAACGATCCAGGAAACGGGCCTGAGCCTCTGACCTCCCAGTGGAGATGTTGCAATGTAAATTCACAGCCTTTCTTTTTACTTGACAATTTTCAAACTTAAAAGTCCTGAAAACAACTCCCAAGATTATGGAAATTTCATAAGCAATCTATTAATTGCATTAGCTTTTGCACAGCATCCCTTCATCTCACACGGGTTGAACAAGAGTGCAGATAAGATACAAAGCTTAAGCCTAGAGTGATTTGTTTGCTTGACGAGACATAATGAATTTGTCGACCCTCTATGCAGATGTTCGTTCATAAGGGATGAAGCGAATAAGAGGTAAGAAGACAGCCCCAAGTAAGCATGTAACGCTAATGCTTTCTGTGAGAATCAGCCTTTTTAATGAACAGAGTCCCTTTAAGCCGTGAAAGCGGATCCATTGCTTCAGGAGCTCAGTGGTTTGGGCCCTTCTGAGGGATTTCTTCTATAGCTTCAGGCCTTTTATGTCCTCTTTGTCATCACCTGGGCGAAGCAATGAAGGTGTAGGAGCTCCACAGAGTCAAAACAAACAGAGCAGAAGAGGGTGTTTGATCACATGATCACAATCTCGGCCCGCTCCCATGGTGAACATGATCTAATAAAAAATGTCTATCACTGGGGGTTCTGTGGAGATTAACATGATAAACCCTGTTCACGAGTGACACACAAACTGCATTTGCTGTTTTGCTGTGGTTTTATGGTTTTATAGTGCTCACACCGACTGGAGCTGCGAGTGTTAACCGACTTAAGCAAAGGACAAAGAGACAGAAGCTGAAATCACGACTGGTTTTTGTCTACATTTGTTCAGGGCCAGGGAAAGGGATATAATAAAAGTAATATAATACCAAAAAACGGCCTACTGGGAGAGGCTGAGGAATTGTTGCAGGTCATAATCTTGCTCCATGGATACAGAATACACATAAAAACAAAGTTACACACGCCCTCAGAATAACACAATAGGGTATTCTTTTCATCAGCCCGACTTCCTTTTTGCTTCCCGCACATCAAATCAAAGCATGTGCAGTCAGTTTACACATTACTTAAGCCAGGGTCAGCCACAAAAACAGCATTGGTAGGCTCTGGTGACTCAAGAAGAGTTGCGTGGCTGATTTTGTCTTCTGCTGGGTTTTGGGTGACCAAAAGGAATGTGTAAATATCCAGTTAAAGTTGCTGGATTAAACAAAGCATCATGTTGCTTGTAAAGTTGATATTAAAATTGTATTGATGCACAAATAAGAAGTTTATGTGCTTTTTTAATTTATTTATACACAGAAACATTTCAGTACATTCACATCAGATAAAGACAGTCTCTAAAAAGATCTAATGACAACTCAATATGCAAGTCAATACAATATACACTCACTGGCCACTTTATTAGGTACACCTGTCTACTCGTTAACACAAATTTCAGCCAATCACATGGCAGCAACTTAACGCATTCAGGCATGTAGACATGGTCAAGATGATCTTCTGCAGTTCAAACCGAGCGTAAGAATGGGGAAGAAAGGGGATTTAAATGACTTTGAATGTGACATGGTTGTTGGTGTCATATGGGCTGGTGTGAGTATTTCAGTAACTGCTGTAACTCACGTAACCAATGGTTACAACCAAGGTATGCAGAAGAGCATCCCTTAACACACAACACGTCGAATCTTGAGGCGGACAGGCTAAAGCAGCAGAAGACCACACTGGGTGTTACTTCTGTCAGCTAAGAACAGGAAACAGGCTACAATTGGCACAGGCTCAGCAAAATTGGACAATAGAAGATTGGAAAAATGTTGCGTGGTCTGATGAGTCTCAATTTCTGCTGCGACATTCCGATGGTATGGTCAGAATTTGGTGTCAACAGCAAGAAAGCATGGATCCATCCTACCTTTTACCAGCATTTCAGGCTGGCGGTGGTAGTGTAATGGTGTGGGGGTATTTTCTTGACACACTTTGGGCTTATCAGTACAAATTGAGCATCGTGTCAATGCCACAGTCTACCTGAGTATTGTTGCTGACCATGTCCATCCCTTTATGACCACAGTGTACCCATCTTCGGAAGGCTACTTCCACCAGGATAACACCAAGTGGTGCTCACTGCAGAGCCATTTGGGCAGAGCTGAGCTCCAGCGAGGGGGAGCTTGAGCTCTCGTTCCTCCTTTCTTGCACTTCTTCTACGAGTGATGTCACTGGGGGTAGGGTTAGGGGTGGGGTTGGTGCACGCATTAAAACAGCTTACAGGAGGAGGAGCGAGAGCTCATGCTCCCCCTCGCTGGAGCTCAGCTCTGTTCAAATGGCTCTGCAGCGAGCAGTGTATCGGATAACACACCAAGTCATAAAGCATGAATCATCTCAGACTGGTTTCTTGAACATGACACTATAGTCAAATGGCCTCCAAAGTCACCAGATCTCAATCTAATAGTGTACCTTTGGGATGTGGTGGAACAGGAGACTCGCATCATGGATGTGCATCTGCATGATGCTGTCATGTCAATATGGACCAAAATCTCTGAGGATTATTTCCAGTACCTTGTTGAATTTATGCCACGAAGGATTAAGGCAGTTCCAAAGGCAGATGGGGGTCCAACCTGGTACTAGTAAGGTGTACCTAATAAAGTGGCCGGTGAGTGTATGCTTATGTATGTGTGTAGAAAGATAACACCGCTTGAGAATATTCAGTGTATCTTAATTTACAAAATTTATTAAATATAGGTAAACTATTAATATTCATTTTATCCTATAAAGATCTGATAACATTCTTCTAAATTTTAAATAGAAAAACTATAACTTAAGGAATTTGTTCTACAAAATTAACAAAAAACAAACGTTTTCATTTTCATCTCATATTCTGATTCATTGGCTATGTATTTCTGAGCATCACTCAGTCAAGGCTCACTGCTCTTTTCACACTGACAGACTTTTGAGGTGCAAACAGCTCATCGTATCTTTTACAGAGCATGCATCTTCTGTCAGTACAGCTGCCATGCATGTATGTTCTCATTTCCTCAGTTTAAGAGCCTTGGGAATTGTCTTTTGAGACCTGTGGTCGTCCTGCCAAGCCATCACTGCTGTTAATGAGTTTCCTCTCCTAATGAGGTGTGCTTACAGATGTGTGTATGGAGCAGAGTCTCACATGCACAAAGCACGCCACTCACACACAAGCATTAGCGTTTGTGGGGAGGAAGCACACAAAAGTGAAGGAGGGGCAAAATGTTATGGAGCTTTGTGTTTTCTGTCTCCCGAAAGTATTTCCAATTAGCAACTCTGGCAAAAAAAAGCTTCTACATTGATTTTCTCTCTCACCAAACATGGTGTGCAAGTGTATAATTCCTGAATTTAAACAAATTGGGCCTCTGTCACAGCTCAGATAGGAAGGAATGCACACAGATTTGTCTCTTGAGGAGAGCAGCACCACCTGTAATTATTAATGTTGTAATTTTCTTCCTGTGTTTGGTAAACAGACAAACTGTAATTCTTTGGTAGCCTTTGACCTGAATTTCTTCAAACAATACTAATTATATTTTAAGTATACCTGCTTGTTTCTTAATATTTAAAAATATATATATTGAAGGATATAGGTTAAGTTGGGGATAAAGTACATCCAGGAGGTTGTTATCGCAGAATAAAGCCCAACTGGCTTATCGGC